GCTCTACAGATGAGTGACAGGTAGGTGAGCAAATGAGGGGACTACCTACTTTGACCATGGAAGGAGCCATCCAACAGGCTTGCAGGACAAGAATAAAAGGGGCAGAAGGAGGAAGTCTTATTTGCTTGCAAGCTCAATTTGGCTTGAGCAGGTCTGTTCTGTGTTTTACTGTTTTAACTGCCTGACTCCAATTTTGTCAGTATTTTGTTTTGTTTTTTGTGGTACTGAAGATTGAACACAGGATGTCTCCATCCCCGGAACTTTTTAAAAATGTATTTTGAGACAGGATCTAAATTGCCTAGGGTGGACTCAAATTTGTAATCATCCTGTCTCAGCCTCCCAAAGTGCTGATATTACAGGTATGCACCACCATGCCTGGCATTCTTTAGCCTTTTAATGCAGACTGGCAGCAGCAACTCTCCAGGGCCTTCCAGACCTTCAGTCTAGAACCTGGGCTGCATCCTTGGCCCCCTCTTGTTCTGTGGCTTCCACCTTCCCGGGTTGAGCAGCTCCTGGATCCTCCAGCTCACCAGTGTGCAGATGGCCACTGTGGGCTCTGTGACATTTGATCCTGTGAGCTACCTAATAAATTCCCTTCCTTGACAGACCTCTAACCAATACACCCAGCAGTTCCACCCTGAGGTGTATACAGAGGGTAATGAAAACATGTCTGCATACAAACTTTCACATCAAAGTTACAGCAGTACTTTTCATAATAGTACCACAAACCGAGTAATGCAAATGCTGGAGACTTCTTGTTTCACTGCCCACAGAGCCAGAAGCACAAGATGAAGCAGGGATGGTTTCTGCTGAGGGTGCTGAGAAAGAATCTATTCCATTGACTGTGGTAGCCCACACCTATAATCCCAGCACTCTGGGAGACTGAGGCAGGAGGAACACAAGTTTGGGCCCAGCCTGGACAACTAAGCATATTCACAAGACCCTGCCCAGAATGAAAAATAAGAGCATAAGTGATAGCCCTGGCTTCAATTCCCAGGATACCCACACGCAGAATGAAGGGCAGTCCAACTGTGTCTGGATCGTATCAGGGTTGGCAGGTCCAGTGAACTCCTGAAAAGTTTCTATCTTGGGATGATGGATGGGATTTTTTTCTTTTGGCATCAGTGCTATGTATATGATATTAGTTTCCACAGCAACTGAGACAGAATGTCTTGATGGCACCTGCAGGGTCTGCCTTTTGGGCACCAAAGTCCTTGCTAAGGAAAGAGGCGTTTCCTTCTTTGCAGCCTGTACACTGCTCTGTAGTTGTGTCATTTTAACTGGGTTCTTGTGTTTCAGATCCAGTCTACACAGCAGCCAAGCAAAGCCTGAAAATTTCTCTGGGTTGAAATCTTTGGTGGCCAGAACAATGGGAAAACAAGTCATCTTTCTCAAGACTGAAGAATGTGGAACTTGCATTATGATATAAAAGCATGTTCTTCTGTACTGACCAAAGACAAAAGGAAGGAGAAGTTTGTTTTCATCTGTAAGGCAGCACTTTCTGAGCAGCAGGTTCCTTCATGTGTGCATTAGTTAGCTTTCCATTGCTGTGACAAAATGTTTTGAGATGAACAACTTATAAAGAGAAAAAGTTATAATGTGATAGTTTCAGAGGTTTCAGTCTATGGTGGCTTGACCCTGTCCCTTTGGGCCTGTGAAGGCATAAAACATCATGGCAGGAGGATGGGGTCCAGGGGTCATTTCCTGGCAGCTCTTCTAGAGCATGCCTCAATCACCAAACTTCCATATGTAATACTTCATCCTCACATAAAAAAAAGTTTGTATTTATTATTTTGATAAAAAGGAAAGAAATAAACAGCAATTGAACTGACTTGAAATTCATCATACCATTCAAACTGAGAACACCTCTGCTCAATATTTTTCCAACTTTTGGTCATTCCTGTGTTTCCTTCAAGTTTCTGCCAAATCTATCATTTATCCTAGTTTTTGTTACTGTGTTTTACATTGATTTACATTTCTTTACTTAAATACTTATGTTTTAAAAATACTTTATTTGGAAAAAAAATATATACATCCTGACTGTGAACGTAGATGTCATCTGGGGCATCCAGGAGGGGCTTTTGTGGGGTGTTGTTGCTTGGGGGGGTGGCTGTGGGTGGCCTTGGGAGACAGAAAAGGCTCTGGTAGGCAGGGAAAGGCAAAGAGGGCTGTGACTGAAAGAAATGTTCCCTTTAGGGCCCATTCTTCCTTGTGGATTTTCCACTTGGGCTGCAGGTGGTGAACTGTGGGGCAAGAAGGAAGATCGATGAATTACCCATGCTGCCTTGTGCCTGTTATTTAATGTGCACCCCCAATCCACCTCTTGAATTCATCTCTCTTTACATGGATATCATGGTGCCTGCGACAGGCAGTAGGAGCCTGCAGTTTGCAGAGCAAGCCTTTATTTTCAGTCCCCAGGTGTAGGAATTTTTCTCCTTAGAATCCACTCCCAAGGCTGCCACTCCTGGCCTAGAACAATCCTGGAAAACACTGGCTTTGTGCTGTTGAATGTTGCTGTTACTGGAAAATCTTCTTAAACGGTGCCAACCCCAGTCTTCCATACATCATTTGTTCTTGTTTTTCTGGTACTTCACTCTGTGTGTATGCAGTATGTCACTAACAGGACCCTATTTTACTTCCTAGGACATCACAAACTTGCTTAAAGAATATCAGTGAGTTGGCCCAGCACCTTCCCTTCATATCCCAATTGCTCCTTAGTTTCTTTTGCATATGTATCACAACCACTCCCAACTCATCAGACCAGATGCAAATTTCTACCCTTTTCACATTTCTTTGTAATTTTATATGAAAATTAGAGAGATGGTGGTGACAGAGTGAACAAGCTGCTGTTTCTCAGGTTTTGAAGTTTGAATGAAGGTCTTTCCTGTTAACTCTGTTAATTGATTATGGGGGTCTGAGTCTATAATGGGCAGAAAAGAATCAGTCCTCTGTCACCTACAGTTCTTTCAATCTTCTGGGCAGGACAACAGAAAACCAGAAACCTGACCTCAAAAAACCCTCCTATATTAATCAGCCTCCTTTGCAGATTGCCTCAGAATCTCATTAATTTATCTGTTTAAAAATCCCAACAATTACTACATCCATTCTTTGTTTCAAATGAAAATATTTACCCCTTGGTTTCTTGTAGCTTTACTTATGGTATTAGTTCTGACACTTAAATCAGTGACTAGCCTCTTCAGCCAGCACAATGATTCTTTTTACCAAATCCTTATTCCCTGAGCCTCTCACCTGCCCTCCTGTGATGATGAAAAAATTCAAGCCCTCTGAAACTTGCGCATGGAGACTTAGGTATCAGGGAGGTGCATCGGTTGCCCTGGGTTTGAGTTTGACTTTTGTGTTTTGGAGAAAGGTGTGGTCATTGCTGGTAGACAGCCATCACAGCCTGCATTTCTCAAGCTTTATCTCTAGCAGATGGCACAACTCCTTTTCACTGAACTTTTCCCCTCATAGCACCCACCCCCGCTTTTGCTCACAATCATATAAAAGAACTCACAGTGAGACAGGAAGGTAGGGTGTGGTAAAACTGGATGGGAAAGGACAAGAAAGTGACAAGATCTTGGAACATGGGCACAGAACAGTTCCCAAAGTCCTATACACGAACTTCTCATGAGAACTCGAGCAGGTTTGCAGTAGGGTGGCCTAGACCTGACATTAGCCTGAGTAATGGGTGATACAAAAAGGACAGTCCACATTGAGCTTTTGCTATTGTGCTCTTTCACGGTGGTCTGCTGTCATGCTGTAGGATATACTTCTTTTCTTACTTTTACTAGGCCTAAACTCGCTCTGCAGGGCCCATTTCTTTTCCTACATTTAATACAAGGTTGCTACCATTTGGGCTTGTCTCGGCCAATTCTTTGCTCAGCACAGAAAGAACCTAGAAACCACCTCCAGAAGGAGACTCCAGCACCCCATGACTGGGTAACAATAAGCCTGTATGAGAGTCACCAGTCTGGTCAAAGTGACAGGGCAGTCCCTCTCAGGTTCCTTCTAAACAAACCTGTCCTAACTGATGAGCTTCCTTTTTCCTCAAAAATGTCCAGCAGTCATTTCCTGTGGGAGAATTGAGGAATGTGGCCGGTGATCTCCCCTCCTCATTTCAATTGAGAGAGTTGCTTGCCTAGGGTTCTATCAATTTAGACTTGATGAAAAAGCGAAGACAGGTGTTCTGGGCATCTACTTATCACTGTCATTGGAAAATGGAGCCCACTGTGTAAGGCCAATCTGGCCTTTGTCTATCTAGGGTGTTACTGCTGGAGTTACACCTACACAGTGCTGGCTAGTCAAGGAACACAAGCTCCTGTTGGTTGGAAATGTTGTGGCACCTGATGGGCTCTTTTATTTTTGGCTTTGTAAGCACCTGGGCTTGCTTTCTGGGTCTTATATCCTTACTAAACTTTCAGGGATACAGCAATCTGTTGGTTAATGGTTTGTTCTCTGTAATCCGGCTCCCACATCCCCACAAACACACCCATGCATTGAGGCCTGGATCCTCAATGCCAAAATGTTTTGAAGTGGGGTCTGGAGAAATGACTGGGACATGGCTATCTCCTGTCTGGATGCCCGTATGGAACGTGTAGCATGGTCTAGTGGGATGTGGGCCATGTTGGAGGGTCGCAGCACCAGCCTCCTTTTAGGGCCCTATCGCGTCGGTCATGATGATTGAGGCATTAGGCAGAAAGAGCTCACCTCAACCAGCTGTGCTGCCCTGTTCAGTGTCCCCGAGGCGCAGGCTTCCCTAAGGGCCTGCAATCAATTGCACTCCTCGCTGTCCTGGGATCCGTGTGCCCGCTGTCCAGCCAGTGGACGCATCTCTGCTCCCACGACCTCAGTCTCTCCGCACCAGCCATCGCTTGCTACCTTCTGGGCCCCAGGCCTTGCCTGGCCTCTTACTGCACTCTCTCCCTTAGCTCTTTCAGCCAGACCGAGTTTCCAGGGCCCATCTCTGCCCTCCCCAGCTTCCGCGGTTTGGTTTGGCTCACCTCCTGTCGCCTTGCCTCGGGCACCCACAGCAAGGCCCCTCGCTCCCAACCGGGCCTCGCCTGGCTACGTGCTCTCTGGGACCTGTGGCCCCAACACTCCCTCTCTGCCTTTCACCGCCCGCGACCCCGCTCAGATTCATCGACTACCCGAGGCTCTTCCGCTCCCACCTCCGCTATCTTCGTCAGGACTCGGATTCCTTCGCAGAGAATCGTGCACTTCCGGCCGCCATGGTACAGCAGGCAGAGCCCGCCTCTGCCCGTCCTCAGGATGTTCCAAAAGTCCTCGCGCCCTTGTGGGTCACTGTGCCGCCGCGGGGTTCCCAACCTCTGGCCTCGGGTCCCTGGGTGCCTCCTAGGTCTTTTCTGCTAGGCTTCCGCTCCATTGCTTTCCCCTGAGTCCCTCTGTCCACCTGGGGACCCCACACATCCGGTTCCACCAGCCCCTGCTTGGGTCCTTCCGTGTCTCCTCGGTTTCCTCCATGCCTCCTCGGTTTCCTCCGTGCGTGCCTCCTCGGCTCTTTCCGCCACGCCTCGGGTTCTTCCGTTTCTCCTCGGCTTTCTCCGTGCCCCCAAGGGCCCCGCATCCAGGCTGGTTCATTCCTCCTCCTCGGCTTCTCCTCTTGCATCTTCTTTCCATGTCTCCTCGCCTTCTGGGCAGGGCTCCTGTTCGTTCTCTCCGTTTCCCGTGGGCCCGTTCGTCTGTTGCAATGAGCCACTCCAGGCTAGCGCTCCCGCCCCTCTTCAGGCCCCCTGTCGCTCTGTCCCCGCGTGCCTCGGGTCCCCCCTGCTCCCAGCGGCCCCTCGGAGCTCCCGCCCTCAGGGCCCACCTCCTGGCTCCGGGGAGCTGGTGTCATTCAACTCTCAGCCCGAAGGTGAGGAAGCGCCCTTTTCCTCACAGGCTGCCCAGCCCGGCCCTCACTGCACCGAGCATGAAGATCTGCCTTCTGCGAGGTGGGAACGGGCGCCGGGGTCTGGCTGTGTCGCCACAGGTTTCTTTTAGAATGAAGTTGAGAATCGTCCCCGCAGTAGATCACCTTTTCCTTTTCCTTTGTAGATTGGCCATTGCTCTTTTGATACTTGGACTTTTCCTGTGCAAGAGAGAAGCCTTTGTAGTGTGGATAAATTAGTGCTGTGTGGTGAATGACCTGCCTTTTCCTCAGTATCTCTTGAGTCTTTGCCTTTGGACGTTTCTGCTGTTTTTTTTTTTTTTTTTTAATTTTTAAGAAAAGGAATCCAGATGTTTTAATGTATTTTTGGCTAATTCAAGAAACTTTCCTTCTTCAGACATTGTAACCAAATGTATGTTCCTGTGAATCAGGAATGAAGACAGGACAGCAAAGCTGTGCGTAGCAGGAATCTAGAATGACGGATGGTCTCTTGCTGCCCCCTGCTGGTAGAACGTGTCATTGCGCGCCCACAAGCACTCTGGATTGATGTTCCTATTCTGCACCTCAGACAGGTATGAGTTGGGAATGCATTTATCACCTTAGATACGCAATGGTTCTTAGAAAGCAAGGTGCCACCACCATGAAGAATGCACCTATTTGGGGGTTAGGGCGGTCCAACGTCACAGGACAGAAGCTTTGGGCCCCTTTGGCTTTGTACTGCGTTTCTCTGTGCAATCCATTCAAGTGTTGAACTCTGGGCGATCCTCCTGCTTCAGCCTGCCAAGTGCTGAGACTACGACTGTGGGCCACCAGGCCTGGCAAAGGAAGGGATGGTCCCCTAGACTCCGCTTGCGAGGGAGCAAAACTAAGGTGTTGTGAGAAAAATCTGAATAGCAGCTGCAACTCTCAGGTGGGTCAGGAATTTACCAGAGGGGCACAGAGGACTTTGTGGGTGGCACTGTGTGTCTGTGCCAGGTGGGGGCTCAGGTCGCGGGGTGCGGCCATTGATCAGAACCCACCGGATGGCACACTTAGCACTCGTGTTTTTCATTGTATGTGAACTTCTTCCAAATTAAAGGAGAAGGATCCCGAGTAAATATTGAACTCTGGGTAAGGACTGATGTGTGTGTCTTTCAGATGCATCAGTAAATAATATGATTGATGAATTACAGGGTAAGGTGGAGGGATGGGTGATGAAGAGACTGCAGTAAAACATTAATTATAGGATCAAGATGGGAGATACAGGTGTGACCTCAGGGACGCACTTTCCACTCTTCTATATGTTGGGTGTTTCATAATAAAACATCAGAAAGCAAAAAGTCCTATGTAAGTGCCTGGCACTTTCAACTTGCTTATATCAATTTTAATCAATTACCCTGAGGTGAGTAGTAGTAGTATTTTAAAATATACTAAGAAAGGAAGTTTCATAACCAGGCATGGTGGGCACACTCCAGGAATTCCAGTACTCTGGGAGGGCGAGGCCAGAAGATTGCAATTGCAGACCCTGTCTCAAAATTTAAAAAATTAAAAAAAGAACCATGGATGTAGCTCAGTGCAGAGGGCCTGAGTTCAATCCCTAATACCCCTCTTCCCTCAAAGAAAAGAAACTGGGTTTCAGAAAATTTCAGGAAGTTAATGAAAGTCACAGAACAGGCAAAGGAGCCCACAGTCACATTCATGTTGTCTAGGTCTAAGTTCAATGGTTTTCCCACCACAGTGCCTTGGTTTTTACTGATTAGACTAAGGGAGAACATCTTTTGAGCATTCGGGGAGGCATGGTAGGATCAGTGTATCCAGCTGGTGGAAATGCAGCTCGCTCTCAGTTTCTGCACAGAGGTAGGAGCATGGTCCTCCTGTAGGAAGAACAGGTTACCATGGAACAAGGCAGCAGCACTGGGGAATTTCCAGAGCATGTCTAGATGCTCATGCCTCAGCCTCCTTGCCTGACACTGTTTTGGTCCCCAACTCATTTGATACTCAGAACTGTCCTAATTCTCAACATTAGCAGTTCTAGTACTACACTAGCTTAAAGTCCCAGAGAGACAAGGATATTGTTCTGTGTTCTCCACCCTCTCCTGCCCCATCCCTCAGAATAGATCACTGTGGGTACTATCTTGGGATAAATGACGGGGGAGGTGAGGGTCCCATGTTTCTGTCTAGCCACAAAGTCACTGGCTGCATGTCTGTGTGCTCATATAACTTCTGTGGGCCCTATTACCCCACGTGTTGGAAGAGGCTGTATCCATCCTGAGTCAGTGCCAGCGTGAACAGCCTGTCACCGGTGGCTTCTGCCATCCAGGTCACCAGCATCTGTCCCTGTGGCCTGGTGGGGGCCTCTTGCGATTGCTGATACTTTTCTCCTCTGTCATCAGCAATGTGGCCCAGAATGTCCTTCTGGTCCCTGATAACCCTGGTATGGCCAGTGACCTGGTGACATCAGTCAGGATGTCCTTGTGCTGCCCCTGCAGACTGGTGCTCATCCTCTGACAGGGGCGCTGGGTCCTGCTGTGATGAAGAACTGGCCCTCACTTGCTTGGTCCTCGTTTCTCTGTGCCCTTGATGACTGAATCCTGTCAAGACACGCAGGCCATGTGGAAGAACAGGTAGCACTTACTGTAAGGTAGAGACAGAGTCAAGGCCTCAGGAGACAGGGTGGGCAGGGCCACGAAGGCATCTGTACTGACCAACATCTTGGGTTCATTGCTATGCACACAAGAGTTACTCTTGGGCTGGGGATTTAGCTCAGTTGTTCCGCCGCCTGCCTTGCAAGCGCAAGGACCCGAGTTTGATCCCGTGTACCAAAAAAAGAAACAAGAGTTACTCTTGGAGTCCGGGAAACTAGGGTGACTATGAGGCTTATCAATATTTTACTTAGAAGTTACTTAGGAATTGTACAGTGTGTTCTTGTCCTGTTAGATGGTCAGTGATTGCTTGGGGCTCTAGTCATGTAGCAGGTCGGAAGATAAGCTCTTCACTGAAACTGGTCTCAGCCCAAGGCAAGAGAGCTATTTTTAAAGGACATTTCCTTTCCTGATGTCATTGGGCTGTAGTCTGTGACAGCCAGAAAAGCTGTGTGCCTTGCTATGGAGTTAGATAGCTGGATGGCCAGGTGCCAGGTCTGTGTGTCATGCGACCTAAGACGTCACTGTGGCTCTGTGGGGTCACTTTAGGTCTGAGATCTAAGAAATGATTATAAATGATTATAAATACATTGATGTATTCATTTCTTTTCTTTCTTTCTTTTTTTTTTTTTTTGGTACTGGGGATCGAACTCGGGTCCTTGCGCTTGCACAACAGGCAGTGAAACCACTGAGCTAAATCCCCAGCCCCTGTATTCATTTCTTTATTCAACTAGCAACAGAAGCTATTTTGAACACTCCTAAACCATCTGTCCCTCAGGCCCACTAATGTCTGCCTACCTGCCTGACAATCCTACCTTGCCCACCTTTCCTCAAATCTGCTGCCCAAAGACTTTTGCAACAATTTCTTCACCAACAGGAGGCAAAGGGATTTTCAGCTTGCAGGTGTCCTTTTGGCCACAAGATGTCGCTGCTGCCCCCACAGAAATCCTGACGCCCCTTCCCAGCATCCTGATTATGTTTTCAAAATGTTTCTCTTGGAAATTCTTTATCCCTCGTTCAACAGAAATATCCTTTCCTAAATCCGAGGATGGAGAGTCAGATTGTAGGAAAACTCTGGATCTGCAGATGGCCGACTGGGAGAGTACTGATCAGACCCAACATCAGTAATGACCCCCATGTTCATTTGGCATATTTTGGATGGGTAAACATTGACAATTAAAGTGATTTCTTTTTATCCTTAGTAAACATCATGTTAAGCCTACTTAACTCTGGGAGTTAAAAATTTTAATGGATTTAAGCAAAGAAAAGTAAAAGAAAATGATTCTTAATGAAACCTACCAATAACCCTTAAATATCACATCCCTTAGGCACTGTGTTGTTCTAGAACTGGCTGCCAGCCACAGAATCCCACTCCAGGCTTTGACTGTGCCTCTATTTCTCAGTATCTAGATCAGGCAAATGCAGCGGAGATGAGAGAGGGAAGGTGCTGATGTTTTGGAAATGGCAGCATCCTACAGGAACCCACTTAAATAAAGATCAAAATGTGCGCGGACCCAGCTGAATCTTCACGTGCTCAGAGAGCCTATTTTATCTCTTTGCTTCTATTATTGTCTCTGCACAATGCATTTTACTGAAATAATGCATGAGAAAAATGCCTATGTGCCTTAAAAACAAAAGAGAATCTTTGCCTGCATCACATCAATCCTGAGATCCTCAGCACAAGCCAGCACATGTGAGGCCTGGGCTATGACGTGGATGATACAGACAGAAGCAGAAAAAGAGGACACAACCTGAACAAATAAGGCCCAGCAAGTTTGTTTGAAAAATACACTTCCAGGTTAAACCTTTCCTTATGTAAAGAGAGACAGAGAGGATTGTGCAGGAACCAGAGGGAAGGAATCCATTTGTGTTATTGCTCTCATTTTAATATCTTCAGATAAGAAGATGAAAGACTGTAAATCAATAAATCAGTCATGAATCCATGAGCACAGACTGGAGGTGACCATTATTTCGCACAGCAGCCTTTCATAAGGGCCCAGAGAAGAAATTCTCCCAAGTCCGAGGTTCAGTGACAGTCCTATGGTTCATTTTGTAGATGCTGGAATCCTATCATCTCCTTCCTTGAACCAAACGAGAACCACCAGGAATCTGCTGGAAAAAGAGACTTGTGGAACTGTGGGCAGCAGTCACCCTTCAGCATCCGACCCCTTGCTCTATGGGATCCACACTCTATCTGCCTCAAATGTGCACTTGTCTCTAATTTTCACCCTGTCTAATCTTACATATATCCACTTCTCTGTGGTACTGGGGATGGAGCCATGGCCTTGCACATGCTAAGGAAGCTCCCTACACTGCGCGGTACCCCTTACCCTTTCTATTTCTTATTTTGACATGGGGTTTCGTTCAATTATCTGGGGTAGTCTAGACCTTTTGCCTCAGCTTTCTGAGTAGCTAGGATTATAGCTATGCACCATTGGGCTTGGGTATCTTGTTTATGAAGGAAATTGATGCAAACAGTGTCAACTAAAAATTGTATGTGTCTACTTACGCATTATTTAACTTCTTTCTTAATTAAGGTGAGGTATGTGAATAGAAACAGACACAAGAAGGAGGTACAAACGTGGCCCATAGAGCTGGGCCTTGAAGTGCAGAAGTGTGGAAGCCTGGGTCTCAGGCACTGGGTGAGGGGCCGATGGTGAAAGCAGAGTGGCCCTATCCTTTGTGGCTGGAAGAGGAAGCCCTTGGATCAGACAGGACACAACAGTATGGCATGGATGACCTGTCTGTCGCTGGGGACAAGGACCTCCCCTGACTGGGTGGCAACACTTGCTCACCCTGAGGGATGGGTCTCTGAGGAATGGCAGCTGTGTGACAGAGGCTGGCGCCTCCCTGTAGCCACCCAGCACGTGACCCCAAGGTGAACTTGAACCTGTCCAGAGGGAGCGTGGGCCACTTATGGTGATGCAGGCCCTGGACTCCACACAGCACTG